AGCCCCCCCCCCCGCCCCCCCCCCCCCCCTCGGGCCAGTATTTCCAACAAAATTGTTTTTAATATGCAGTACTGAGTTTTCTATAGGAGTCTGCATGCATGCCAAAAGTTTTGTATTGTGCAGTTTTTTATTTAATATACATACTGATCTTGTTTAACGGTGTTGATGACGTCATGCTGCGGAACTCCTATGGACTCTCAATACGTGGTCTTGTTCGTATGGAGACTTCATACCAACATGTTGGATCAAGAACGTCTTATGTGTGGAAAAGTAAATTTTCTTGTTATAGAGCACTTTTTCTTCAACAGTAACAGATTAAGGCCTCAGCCCTGTTTCGAGAGAAAATAATTTGGAAAGCTTTGAAGTCTTTAGATATTTGGTAGTACTCTGTAGCTCGAGGATTGCCCCAGCTCAAGGCTAATGTTTACAGAGGCATACGCGGATATGCATTCATGTTACGAGCGAAATTAGAACCCGCGATCCTGGTTTTTCTTAGCTCGGAATGCAGTATGGAAGTAGAATGCCATCCCTATACGCGCTATGTACTCCATACATTTACTATTTAATTTGATCACCTTTTTTTGGTAGAGAACGCAAATTATGAAGCTCGTTATGCAGTCTAATTTTCGATCTCACAGTTTCAGATACTAGAGCTAGTCTCTTACGCCTGTCTTGCTGTCAGTGTTAGGGCCTACCACATTTAACTTCGAATTGCGCAGGGACGTTTTCATATGTGTGCTAGTACGAAGTCCAGTTATTTTTTAAGTCGATCTCCTGGAAAGCACGTGTGATGGCGTTGAATGGTGCCACACGCGTGCAGAATCACGGGTTGGATGAAGGCCGCGAAATTTCCATGTCGCAGCAGGAACGTACAGCTCCATACTGCTTCAAATCATGGACAAGTTGTCCTTGTGGACGCTTTGCAATGACACGAATAGATACGTACAACTACAATCCATCAGGAAGAGAATTTGACGTTCGATTGCAGACTGTCGAGTCTGAAACGGGTTATCTTCAACGGTCTAAATAATTTCTTGGTTTAGTTAACACCTTTTTAACTTGGTAGGTTAAAATATAGAATCAAATATGAAGTTGGTTGTGGATGATGACTACACGGCGCATCAAACCAGAGACAGACACTTTAATACCGAAGCCATGAGAAACTGAAATCTTAACTGCTAGTGTATTTTGGTAGGAAGGAATGACACGAAATATACTAGAATTCAAGTTCTTGGTGATATGATCCATTTCTTATTCATCAGCGTTTTATTAACTACATGGGAGCATACACAATTGAACAAAAGGGGTTGAGAGGCGCTAGTCGACCAGAGTTCGATACCTCGTTGTTTTTATCGCCGCAACACCGGTTGTGGAGCCTGTCAAGTTTACTTTTAATCGTTCGATATAGCAGTCGCGAATAATCAGTGAAGTTGAGTTGATTTCCTTCTTTCTCCTCTACAAGAGTGGATGCATTGAAGCCG